TAGCACCGATAGAAGATAAATTGAGAGAGAATCGTTTGAGATGGTTTGGTCATATTCAACGGAGACCAACAGAGGCAGTAGTAAAGAGATGCGATGCTGTAACGGTAGATGGAAGTGTTAGGGGACGGGGTAGGCCTAGATTAACGTTGACTAGCATTATAAATAGAAATATGAATCTACTTAATTTGACTAATGAAATGGCCTTTGATAGGGCCGCGTGGAGAAGAAGGATTCATATAGCCGACCCCATTTAATGGGACTTAAGCCTTGGTTTGGTTTGGTTTGGTTATAAGAAAAAAGTGAAATAATTATGATTTGATATAATATTTTGTCTTATTAACTTATTTAGCTCATTTTGTCTTTTATGCTTAAATTAAAAAATTAAAAGTCAATAAAAAAAATCATTTTCTAAACAAACCTATCACTACAGATCTGTTTGGAAAAAATTAGAACGTTCCTAACAAGTCACGTTCTAAACAACTCCAAGACGTTTGACCTTTTTTTGGACGAGAAAGCAAAGAACTTATTATTTAATAGTTCGCATGTTCAAATCTCACCAAAGCCAAACATGTCAAATCTTAAGGTTATTGGAAATTTATCTGATCGTTAATTTCAAAATCTTAGAATTAATTGAGGTGCGCATAAATTGATCTAAACATAAAATTATCTCAAAATATATATATATATATATATATATCACTTTCTAAACAAATCCTAATTTTCTGAATTAATCAAGGTGCACATTAACTTATCCAAACACAAAATTATCCCAAAAAAATATATATCACTTTCTAAACAAATCCTAATTTTGGTGTTAACAAATACACTAGGATTGTTCTTAAGTCAAGCTGTTAAAGTGGTTAAATATCAATATATCACTTTCTAAACAAATCCTAATTTTTGTTAGGAGTTAACCAATACACTATGATTGTTCTTAAGTCAGCTGTTAAAGTGGTAAATGTCAACTCCTTGCTAATTATGACGATTGAGTTGACATTTGATATAGAGAAAAATGATACTTCAGAGAAAGAGAAACACTACATCATATTGTTTTTATTTTTTTATTTTTAATGATTTTATTCTTTGGATATACATATTTATATATATGAAAAATGATTTGAAGCCCTAAAAATATCCTCCTAATCCCCCTAATTTCCAATTTGGGCAACTTTTTTTTTTTTTTTTTTTTTTTTTTTTTTTTTTTTTTTTTTTTTTACTTGATATGAAAATTAGGGGAATTAGGGGGGTTTTTTTAGGAGGATGTAGCAAGACCCTATATATATTTACGTGGATGTCATATTCTTTAAAGGAAAATGATTTAGAGCCCTAAAACCCCTCCCCCTAATCCCCCTAATTTCCTTTTCTGGAAACTGTTTTCTTTTTCTTTTCTTTTTTTCTTTTTTTCTTTTTTTTTTTTACTTGAAATGGAAATTCGGGGGATTCGAGTTCCCCCATATATATTTTCGTGGATGTCATATTCTTTAAAATCTTCATTTGAGTATTTAAGGCGGGGCTAAGGTTGATTTGTAATGTTCCGCCTCGCCTTATATTATATTTGAGATGAGACAAATCAAAAAAGTAAATATTAATTTTGTAATATTAGAAATGAGAAGAAAAATAAAATAAGATATGGTATTTTTTTAATAACTCGATATTCAGTTAATTAGATCGATTAATTTTGAAAATCAATCTCACTGTGTACTTGCAAAAATGAGATATGAGATGATATATTATGCCTAATATTTTACAAGTGATGAGTGTTTAAAGATGTAAAATGAGAAATAAAGAAGTTACGGTGATTATTATGTGTAAAATTTTAGTGTTTTAATCTTGTTATATTTAAACCAAATTATATATATATATATATATAAAATCAAAACCAGGGCAGGGTTACAGGGTATAATGGGGAAAGAGAAAAACACAGTCCTGTTCTTCCTCTGCTTCCTCATCAGGGGTGGAAACAACCCGTGCAGGCCAGGGCAGGAGATGCGGCGCAAGGCGAGGGGAAATTGTCCCCTATAAGCACCAATGCACTCGCTAAACACTGCATTTTATACCAACCCATTTCAACATAAGCAAAGGAAAGTTGGCAAGTGGCTCCCAATGGCTCTGAGCAAATTCACAAATTTAATACACATTTTCAATTTTTTATAGAAAAGACTGACAAGCATACTTATCTTCAAGAAAGTAAATTATTCACACTTCCCTACAGATGTTGGCACACTGGCAAACCATGTTGAACCTAATCTCAGAGCTCTTCCTTATTTTAATGGCCTATTTTGTTTAATCTAGGGCACTCTAGTCCCATGATTTCAGGGGCCTCTAGCTTCAGAGGTCATTTTAAAATAAGTGTAGAAGTAATCAGCCATCCACAGGGCGCAATCCAACAGAAATTTTCAGATCTAGAAAGTCCGATCATAAAAGGAATCAAATTATTTAAACTCAGACAAGTTTGACTTGTTAAAATTTAATTCAAATAAGGATCAAGCTTAAATTCGTTTTAAAGTTGAATAGTTTTCAAACTAAGTTTGAACAGCTATATTGGGCTCAATAAACTTATATATATTATAAAAAAAATCAAATTACTCAAACTCAACTCATTTGAGATCAGCTAAAAGGTAAGCGTGAACATATTTTAAAAATCGTTAAGTTTTTCAAATCAAATTTGAACCACCTCCGGCTTGGCTCAACTCAACTCATTTTCTACTTTGACTTGTTTCCAACCCCTGTACTTACCAAACACAAAGGATAACAATTATGCAGAAGCAGGAAGCAAATATCATATGCACACTCAGGGTAAGCAACCATACTCTTTAACATCTTGGGAAGAGATAGCACATTGGTGCCAAGCTTCACACTTCATATGCAAACCTTGAAACAAAATTTTTACACTAGTGAAAAAGGAATTCCAATTTGAATTGTAACCAGCAAGCATGGGGAACCAAAATACATAATCTGAGACTAACTAAATTGAAGTAATTAAAACCCCCATCAACTAGCAATCCATTTAGCCCCAAATCACTCAATTCAACCCAACAATTTAGCCGCCATTACTACATCACATAAGAAAGCTGTTGATTCCATTTTAAATTTTCTAGCATTATAATTTAATTAATTCAAATATATTGTGGCATACATAGACTCCATAGTACCTTCCCCTCCTCTTCTCCAACATAATAGTGAAAATAGTGATGTTGCCAAGCTTTCATGGCCGGTAACATGGGAGATAATGGCAGCAACTCCATGGATAAGATATCCACCAATCTTAACAGGTCCAAAATAATTGCAAGAACAAAGTTTAATTAGAAACCACATATTGTATTCACTAAGAAATGTTTGTCAGCTTAACATGGTTACAACCTGATGCCGAGCATGGAAAGAAGAAAACAACAACACATCTAAAATTTCACATGAAACAAACCTAGGATTTATTTAATCAAATTTAGGATTAATTTTAGACTTGTTCACATGTATTTTAAAATTAGTATGCTGTTGGATAAATTTTATGGTTTTATATTAGGTTTTACTAGTTAGGAGCAGTTTGGTAATTTTGTAAATTGTTAGACATGAGTTGTTACTCATAAGACAAAATTATGTTATTGACTCTTCTATGGAGCATTTATTAGGTGTGGAATATTTTAGTTGGTCAAGATTGGTTAACTTCTTAATTATAGAATAGAAAAAGTCTATACCAAGTCATAAATATGCATTTAATTTTTTTCTTTTCAAGGAAAGTAGAGTTATGAGAATTTGATTGTGATTGTGTGAAATTGCCTAACTCTTGTGAGGGTCAGGCGCCCATTTCCCCTCTTATTCTTTTTCTCCTTTGAGCAAATGACAGCGAGTTCTCAGGTTTCTTCCATACCTATTGCTATCAATTTAACTATTGAAACCCTAAAGTTAATGTTGGCTATGCCCTAAAATAGTATGTTTTGATAATCCAGCAATTTAACATTGTTGAACATAAACCAATTTTAGCTCTCTCTTTTATGAACCCTAAAACTTTTCTTCTACCGTTTAAAACAATAACCTTAGAAACTTACTTCCACCTAAACCCACCATGAATCGACTTGTAGTCAGCCTTAGGCTAAGTTTCATAGAGTTTTCCTACATCACAACCCCACCTAAATCCCCCTATACCTTCCCACTACAATAGCACGGGCACATCATTTGAAACCCATTATCAAAAAAAAGGAGAAATAAAAAAGATCAGTATTTAGATAAATCATGGCATGTCAAACAAGAACGATCCTTTGATGAAGGATGAGAACTAAAATATGTTTCAAATCGAAGAATGAGAAGTAAAGTAATAGAGTGAAGTTTTGGACGCCCTAGAGCAATGTCTGAAGAAAAATCTAATTGTAGTTCCGATGGCCCTACATTTTGACAATCCATCTCAACTAAACATTAGTTGAAGTTCAATTCTCTTTCAAAAAAATGATTTTTTTTTTTTTCTTTATCAATATTATGTCACAGATTCCCTGATTCTCATGCCATGCCAAGCCAAGCCAATTTCTTTATATCATCATTTTAATACTTTCAACCTTTAAGAAACAAAAAGAACTTCCTGCAACATTTCATAAAATATTAAACTGATAAGATAAATTACATTATATTATAATCCATAAGGAGATCCAGTGCTTTATGCGATTGATTATATTCCAAATCTAAATCATAAACCAGACACTATAACAGATATAATACAAGATTTAATTCTACACCCTATGGTTCTACATCAGAAGAAGTCATCGCAAGTTATATGGCATAAAGCAATTTTCCAAATTCCCATTCCATTGTCATTTAATAAGAATTTCATCCCTTACATTCTCAAGAAACAAAATTAGCCTCAACCAACAACTCATAAAAATTTAATCTTACAAGATCAAACCATCATACATTATATAGCCTACAATGAGATCCAGAAGCTTATGCGAATGATCTAGCATCTATCAGACAAATTTACCAAAACTTGCACCATTAGCTTGTATAAAAACAATCCGAATATCAAGAAAGATGCATATATGAATAAAATAAGAACTAGAAAAGTTCTTCATTGGGATGGTTCCTACAGAGTTACACTTACACATATAAAAGTAAAAGAACAAAAAAAGAAAAGAAAAGAAAAATAAAACAAATACAAAAATTAAAAGTTGAAATTTGGTAACTGAGATTCTTACTCTCCTAAAATACATGAAAATTGGCCCCGATAAGCAGCAGCTACGAACCTCGAATCCCTAATACCAGCAAGAAAAACAACAATAAAACTAGCAATAGATAATGGATAATCTAAGCCACATTCCTAACACCACAACTTGCAGAATGAGCGAAAGAAACTGATCGAGAGTCACCCAATTTCCTTCAGCCCCTCTCTTCCTGGTTTTTTTTATTTTATTTCCATACCCATTTTCTCCAATTCATTTCTTGTGTTTCTAAATTAGTTTAACAATGGAATCAATCCTGCGAATCGCTCTTCTTGCCCAATCCATCCCCCCCTCCTTCCCTCTCCTCCAACAACCTCCCCGACTCCTCGTCGGCCTGCTGAGCCTTCTTCTGCGCCTCTTTGGCCTTCAAAGCCTGCAACTTTGAATGATTGTAATACATAACACCCAAAAACGCAAGCCCATACCCAAACAAATTGATGGGAGTCACAGTATCCTTAATCACGGACCACGAAAACGCAATCAACAACCAGTCCTTGACAACCCCAGCGACATTCATAGTCAAAGCCGATGTCTTCCCAACAAGCAAAAAAACAGCAAGATTCAAAGCAAAAGCACAAAGCGAATTGGTCCCAAAAATGGCGAAATCGAAATGGAAACTGGAAGTGTCTCTCAAAACAGGGAATTCAACGAAAAGCCAAGGAACAGAGAGAAAAACAAAGCAACAAGGCGCAACATAGTAAAGCGAAGTGATTGGATTCAAAGTAATACCTTTGGAAGTAAGCAAGATCTGAATCAAAACCAATCGAGTGGCTTCGAAAGCCACAGCGCCGAGTTGAAGAAAAACCCCCCAGGAATCGAATTTGGCTTCTCCGTAGGCGGCGATGGCGACGCCGAAGGAGATGGAGAGCATATTGGCCATGGTGTTGGAGTTGAAAGAGTCTTTTCGGAAGATGATTCCGATGGAGTAAACAGCGACAGGCATTAGGGCTTTGAGCATCTGGATGAAGGAGACGGAGAGGTAGATGTAGGCGGAGTTGGAGAGCCAGAGAGAGAGGGAGTAGAGAGCGCCGATGGGGACGACGGAGGAGAGGTAGACGTCGCGAGACATGGAGACGGGTTCGACGAATTTGAAGACGCGGATGATGAGGAAGGCTAGGGCAGAGCAGAAGAACATGTGGATCATGGTAAGTGAGATGGGGAAAGGCCAGTTGTAGAGCTTGCGATCCAGGATGTACTTGTTGTAGACGATCACTGTGAAGCTCAGGAAGATCCAGATCGCTACGTACGTGTAGGAGAGGACGATCTTCTTTATTACGCCATTCGAGAGTGCTCCCCCTTTGCCCATTGTTGTGGCTTTCGAGCGGGGAGGTGCGCAGGATACGCAGGGAGTGGGTGCAGGATTAGAGTTAAGAAGAAGGGGAAGGGGTTAGAGGGGGAGGCTGAGATGCGGAGGAGTATTATATTAGAAGAGTTTGAAGAAGGGCTGGTAGATTATTGAGGTGGGGTAGACTATTAGGCCGTTTGTTTTGGGGATAGAATGGCGGAGATTGATAATGAGAAAATTGATAGTGAAAAATTGTTAAATTATTTTTATATAAAATAATAAAATAAATAAAAAAATATAAAAAATTAAACATTATATTTAAAAAAAATTCTCAATATATAAAAAATAAAAAAATTTCTAATCCCCTCACTATTTTCTAATACCATCTCTACCTCCTCCTTACCAATCCCCTTCCAAGGGTATTAGCAATACCAAGGGACTAATAGTCCCAAGATTTTCTCTGCAAACAAACAGGGGCTTTAGTAATACCTTGGTATTACTAGTCCTAATACCTTCCCTATAGCCCAAAACAAACGGGGCCTTAGTAAGTTATACGGGGAACAAATTTTCTATTAAATAATGAATTTTGTAAAAGAAAAATGAGTCAGACCCTTTTTGTGGAAGACCCCACAATCTCCTTATTGATCTACACTATTCATGATGTGTGGGGTCCACTCATGTATGTGTAGGGTCCACATCATGAATGGTGTGGATCATAAAAGGGGTTGTGGGGTCCTTCACAAAGGAGATCTCTATTATTACTGTTTATAAAATTGTAGACCTCACATTTAAATAAGATATTTAATTATTTATTTAATAAAAAGTTCTTAATGTTATCCCTTCCAATTAGTTTCACACTTAGAGCCTATTGTGAGGTTTTTATAAGTCTATTACAAAATTTATATTGATAATTTGAATTGTTTAATATGTAAGATTAGTTAAATATTTTATTTTTATAAAAATTATGTTAATCGAATATTAATAATTATTTCATCATATTATATTTATGTCAATCTTAAATATGGTTTAAAAGTAAATTGTTAATATAAGTGTACTATGATCAAATGACTATTGATATTTGATGAATGTAATTTTTTACAAGAATAAAATACTCGATAAACTTTACATGTTGTACGATTTAAATTATTGATGTGAATTCCATAATGAACCTTCATCCTTAATAAGAGAAAAAAATAAAACAAGTTATAATCAAATAACACATAAATAAAATAAATATATATTATAATTAAAATAATATCATAATTAATTTTATAACAAGTTAAAATTAATAACATAATACATCGTAACTAAAGAGATAGAAATCATAATTAGAGGTGAATATGTATCCTAGAATTTCCCAGTAAAGATTGATTTTGAAATTAATTATTTTAGTGATTTTTTTACTTTTTATAAAAAAAAATATTTTAAAAAATAAAAGAAGAAATTATAAAAAATAAATTAATTAATTAAAATTTGAGTCTTATAACAAAATAAACCGTGAGTTTTTGAATTTTATCAATTTTAACTTTAATCTTTTAATTTATTTTTTTTAATCTAAATTATCCGTCTATTTTCGTTAAGTAAAACTGACTGAAAAATAATATTTTAGTCCTTCTACTCCATGTTGGTGTACAAAATATGTCAAAAATATATATTTTTTCATTGAGTTTAATGACTAAATATTATTTTCTGATCATTTTACTTAACAAATATAGATAAATAGTTTAGATTAAAAATAAATCAAAAAATTAAGTTTTAAATTGAAAAAACATAAAAACTCACGAACAAAACCTTGGAGCTTTTTTTATGTATATAATTTTTCCAAAATAAAAAGTGTGATATAAAAAATTGTAGTGACTTTTTAATTTTTTAACTAAAATATTTAATTGTCAAACAAGACTGAGATTAGAATAAATATTTATATACATATATATATATTATATTAAATTCTCTAAAATTATGACTCCACATTTGCATTTTGTCTCTTAAAATTTCAAAACATTGCAATTAACTATTTCGAACTATTATCTTGTCATTAAACATATTCCGTTATGGTTCTATTTTGAAATTTAAATGGAATCAAATTATAAGTGAAACACATATTGTAACACAAGTATTGATTTTTTAAAATAATAATTTCTATTATTATTTTTTTTATTATAGTAATATTTTGTCGAGTGATATCATTTGTGCTTTGTCTCAATTATTTTAGTATCAAAGTGCAAACGAGATTACCAGTAAGTATGTCATGTGTTTTTACATATTATGTAATTTTGTATAAATTCTTAATAAAATGGATTAATTATAACAAAATAATATTTTAAAGTAATTAACTGTTTAATTTTAAAATTTAGAATGACAAAATAGAAATTGCCTTACAAATGCCTGCTTTGAAGTTTTACAAATTATTCGGGTATTCATTCGTACTTCAAATTGATAAGTCAATTGTACGAATTCATTGATGTTATTGCTCATTATATTCTCACATGCCAATAATTACAAATTTCATTTGCTTGAAGATGTATGTGGGGAAATATTATGATGCACATTTTCAAAGGCAGATATGCTAGGGACCCAGCACCCCTACTGGCATTTCGTTGGCCAGTTGTTTTGGATGGGGGGTGCTGGGGGTCGGAAAGTACAGGGTCTGAGACATTTTTGTTTCAAAGGGTATGTCACTTTATATATTTTATAATTAAAAAATGGTATAATTTTAATATTTTAGTTCTAATTAAAAAAATATCATAATTAAATGTAAAATAAAGTATAGTTAAAAAAATTAATGAGTTATAACTAAAATAATGTCATAATTAAAGAAGAAAATTCGTTATAACTAAAGAAAAAGACACATAACTAAAGTGCATATGGTACATCCTTTTTAAAAGGTGGTATATTAAAATTTTCCATGCATGTTTCATCAATAGTGAGGAGTCAGTGAGATTTAATTTTGTAACTACAATTAGTAGAATTTGATTTTGTAAATGTCATCGATTGCCATCCAATTAAATAAATAAATAATCTTTTTCTAACTTCTTGACTTTAGGTTTTTTTTTTTTTTTTAATTTGTGATATATTTTTTTACTTTTCGATCTATCCAATGTAGAAGAATCTAAACAAACAAAATCAAAATAAAAAAGTTCACTAAAATATATGTATGACCTTTTGGGTTAATAAAATGTTAACGAGACATAATCTATACAAGTTCCACATACGAGACTTGTAAAAAACTAAAACAAGTTTTTTTGTTTTCTCAAATAAAAAATAAAAGAGTTTTATGAGTAAACAATAAAGAATAACTGTAGATAAATGGTAGTAAAATAGAAAGTAATAATAATAATAAGAGCATTGCTATTTAATATCAAAAATTAGTCTCACTTTTTAAATTCAATATTGTGACAATCAATTAAAATATTAAAGACAAAACTCTCTTATATTTTCTGTAATTATCAACCAATCACACGACTTCTACATCATTGGTATCTCTCACCACTAACAAACCTCTCCTCCATTGTCTCCCGCTATTGTTAGGCATTTAATATCTATTTCATGTCCTTTTCCACCACTCTTTCACCTTTTTTCCGCCACAGCCACCTTATTCCTACCTCAACCTCCTCCAACCTATCCTTAATCCTCTTCCGCTCATTCATAGCATTCCTCAAACCTGTCCCCAACCCTGTACCCCACTCCCAACCCTTATCCATCCCATCTCTAACCTTCTTTCATTTACCCCGGCATGCTCCTTTCTTTTCTTACCAATTTCTAATCCCCTTTGCCCACCCCCAACATCCCCCGTCTATTTCCAGCCTCCTCTATCCACATTTAACCCCTTTCATTTCAACAACGACACATAAAAATAAATAAATAAATAAAGCAAAGATAGAGAAGAAACGAAAAGCAAAGTGGATTTTGCGCTCTGTAACAATGATGGTTCACAGTAAAGTGACCTCGAATTCGTTCTCAATGAGGTTTCGTGACGATGATTCGTAATGAGGTGACCTTTGAATTGGTGATCAAAGTGATTCTAAAAGTCACGAAGTGGCTAAAGAGGTGCTGAAAGTTATAACAATATCTGATCAATCACCAAATAGTCACTCTCTTGCCGATTGGTTGGAGCTCACTGACAAACAACAACATGCAATAAGTGGTGATGGTCAGTGACAGTGGTGGATGGTGGTTGTAGGTGGTGGGAGAAATATTTTGAAAACAAGTAAAAATATATTTTTTATTTCTAAAATTCTACAAATTTTGAAATTAATTTTAATTTTTTGAATATAAAAATAATATAAGAAACAAAAGTTCTAAAAAAATTAAAATAAAATAAAAAAACAAAAGTGTCAACAAATAACATCTTGATGTTTAATGTTTGAATAATGCTATATGTATCAATTGGTATACTAATTAATGTACTAACGGATAATGTGACATGATTTTAGAGGTTTTAGATTTTTGTAGTTTGTATAATGGGTGGAGTCATAATGTTAAAGTGATAACGTCACAATATATATTACACTAATTGATATATCAATTAATGTATATAGGGCTCTTTTGGGAATGACCGAACAAACAAGTACCGAATAGGTTTAAGAACCAACTGAATGAATTGAATGTGTAGGTCAGACGCCGCACCCTAGCCACGTGATTCAGGGAGTCAACTGTGAGTAACAACCTTGTAAGGATATGTTTGACTGTAAGTATTTTCTAACTTATACTGTACTTTCTTTCCGAAATGATACTTTTTGTTTAAATGAATGATTGTCCTATTTGTAAAATGTATTCAGGAAATCCTTAGCTACTGTTACTGTTAATGCTACTGTTACAAAGATCTTTGTCAGTTCCAAATCTTGAAACTACTGTTTACTGTATTGATGGCCATTATATATGATTGTTCGGTCTTCTAAGACCTACTGTAATGTTCTGCTAATGGATATACCACGTATAACTGCTACGACAACAATATGATTCTGAAATGAGAAACTGATTCATTGATGATAATTGACTATTTTAAATACTATAAGGACATCATTCATAACCCCTTTATAGAGTTGTTATTCACTGGGCTCTAGCTTACCGTTTATATATGTATGTAAATGATCAAGCTCAAGATCGAAGCTAGTGGCGTCGACCTAATCTCTGTTTTGTCAAGCCAA